ACAAGCAAGTTTACATTTTCCATACATACTTTTTTTTTTCTTTTTGTATAATTGCTTAATTGTTTAGCTAAATGTAAACTATCAATATCTAAAATCAAAGAATATATTATTTTTGTTATAAATGTAATATCTCTATTCACCTTTTTTTTTAAAAAAAAATGTTAAAGAATAAGAAAAGAGTTACTAGAATTGTAATAGCATTGTGAGAAATGATAAGTTTATTCTCTAAACCAACACACTATATGTTACACACTTGCGGTTCGGAGATTAAAATACATTAACAAACCAGTATTTACTTATCTGGAACTTGTCCTACATAAGACAATGACTAGAGTGGAGTTTAGAGACCCTATCACAAATCCCTCTACACACTCTTCATCTCTCTTGACCATTTTCCCTTTGGCATCCTCGATTCAACCGAACGACCACTAGGGAAAAATCTGTGTTGCTTGACCACCCAATTTGTGAATCATCCACGCTGGAGGTCTCCACTGGCAGAGGGAATTAGTTCTTTCTCTCAGATATTGCTCTTTCTCCCCCATCTCCAGTCCTTTGTTGCTAATGATCCTACCTCCCTCCCATTCCTCCCCTGCTACCAACTCCACATAATCCACCCAAACATATTAGCCTTCTCTACTACATTTTCCCTTGAAATAGTGAAACTTTGTAATAATTTTGTCTTACCCAATTACCAGCTTCGAAAATCAAGAAGAATAGTATCTCCCTTGTTGCTTAATAAAATTCCCAAATTTTCACTTGATTTTTTTTTTCCCCACAAAATCCCTAATTAAAAGATTTCTCCCCCAATTTTCTTCTTGCTCTCAAATTACCTTCAAAATTCCTTCAATTTCCTCATAAAAGGGCAAAAACCAAACCTACAAAGCTATGCAGAGGATTTATTTGGGTTTAGTTTTTGGGTTTCAAGATGAACTTAGTTATGGGGATCCACAACAAACCAATATCCCTAAGTTCTTGTGAATCTAGATTTTTTAGTTCACAGAAACTTTTCTACATTTCACAAACCAATATTTTTTTTAAAAAAATTATTTTACTCAAATTCAATTTATTTTTTGTTGTGGTGGTTCTTAAACTTCAATCTCTTTGAATTTTGGGTTTGAATGAAGGATGATTTTTGTCCTTTTTAGTCTAAATGATGAAAGTGCAATCAATTTGTTTAGAAACAAAAATAAATATGAATGGCATAAGGTTTAAGTTTTTGTGTGTCTCATTCCAATCATACTTTTTAAACAATGTGTAACAAAGGGTAACAGATTGGGATTTATGCTAATCAACATCCATTGCAATATCCTTTTTGTGGACAACAATAAAAGATTGTTATTGGAAAAGGCTTTGTGAGCAATAGTTTTTGTTGAGATAAATAATAAATTTATGAGTAGTACCAACTATGATTTTGAGAACAGGAAACAAGACACCAACGCGCATGTAGTAGGGTTGGTACTCACCCTAGCTAGCCCAAACCTTGAAACTTAGGATGATTGAATCGGTAAACATAGGTCAGTTGTTGAGTCAAATTGATTCTTTTTCTTGTTTCTTGTTTCTAAAGCAAGCAGAATACTTCTTTGGAAAAAGTAGGGTAACTATGGTTTGATTTTGATTTGTTGTCGTAGCGACCAAGATGCCTCAATTTAACTGTTGCTTGGTGTATTGAAAGTTTTAAACATTGCCCTTTTTTTTCTCTTTTTTTGGGGTGGGGTTTCCATCATTACCATGTGCGTTGAAAATTGGATCGAATGCATAGATTAGGCCAGATATGGTCCAAACCATGAAACTTAAATATGGATCAGACATGTCAAAGCAAATTTCATGTCGCAGCCCATAAATTTGGGCTGGACGTATTGATTGGTTACAGGCTTATTTGGGCGGCCTGCAAGGCATTTGTGAGAATTAGACACCTAAGTTTCATTGCACAATTTGTATCTAATCAATAATCAATGGTAATAGAACTCGATCAAGCGACCTGATGGGTCGTGCACCTCATTGAGGAAGGTGGGATGTTCACTAAATCTGAGGATCGAATTCTCAGTTACTAATAACTAATAAACTAACTTACTAACTATTGTTCTTGTAAAAAAAAAAAAAATTAATGGTAATAGGTAAAGAAGCAGCTTTTACATTTAGCTTACATATGTTTTAATTATATTTTTGATATAAAATTTTCCCACTCAATAGCAATATTGAGAAAGGAAAAAAGCAAGAAACCCTAGGCACCTAACGAGAAGCGTGCCTTTTTTTTTTTCATATATAAAAAAAGGAAAAGATTAATGTTGTACATTCCACTAGAATGGAATGCAAAATCTCATTTCCTCAGTACCTGAATTAAGTTTCCAAGAAAAGAGATAAAAAAAGACCAAAAATTATAATCCCCTGGGAAAAAACGGGTGGACAGTCGCCCCCATTCTGATATACATTCAAATCATACTTTATACAAAGTATAAATTCTGGTATGTATCAAACTCATGGCCTACTTTGTGGATCATGCCGAAACTTTACTCCATACCCTTTTTCTCCAAGGAGAAAAAGTATTCCTTGAAATGACTTAGTTCAAACATTAATTCCCAAGTACTTTCTTTAAGGAGCCTCTCTTGTCACTTCTCATTCACATTTCAATTTTTTTTAATACGTTTTAAATTTTTTTTATACGTAAAATTAGAAATTGAATCTT